GTACAATCTCTGAAAGAAGACACACCAAGTCAGACAGTGCACACATACTGTATTACACTCTTTCCAACTCAGCATGCAGAAAAGTGTTTGTCAATTTAAAAAGAGCTCATGATTCATCCGTGTAATCTCGTCCTCCTTTAGTGATCCCTGCAGCTGAAAATGCAAGGCATTATTTGACAAGATTGCACAGTTTCATCGACTCAATCAGCCTCGTAAGATAAACACTGAAAGAGAGCGCCAAGAGAAATAATAGTTTTCCAATGATCTAGGTTCTTATTTGTTTTCAGTTTCTAATTGTTTTGCATGAAGATTTATCTGAATGTGAAAGTTAGGGTCCACATTTGTTATTATACAACAGAAAAAACCTGAGCACCCAATATAAATTTAAGATGAAAACAGATGATATATCATAGAATACAGCGTATTAAATGTCCTGGAAGCTCTGCCCAGTTGAGTCTTTTTATATTTATGTACGTTGTGGTTTAGATCAGTGATGAATGTTGTCTTTATCTTCTCATCTCCTTACAACATGTAGTTTAACCTTGAGTGTTTTTCACTTTTGCTTTGTGCATTAAAGTTTATTTGAGGTCATCCGTCAGCACACAGGGTCTGTAGAGTGGGCAGCTACAAGATTTCAGGACAGAAGAGATGAAAGAAACAAAAGAAACAAGCAGTCATGGTAGCACAAGATAAACAAAATGTACGTTCATGTCCCCTGTCACTGAAGGGTTTGAAAAGTAAATGTTTGTAGTTTTCGAGATGAGTGTTTTTCTAATAGGGAATAGAAATAAAGCCTAAGGCAAGATATTCAAGTTGTTCAAGAAGAAGTAGAAATTTTTTTCCTTGTTCAAGGTGGCTCAGAATTATGGATCTTGACAAGCAGATGGAGCAATTTTATCCACCATCACGTGCTGTACTGGAGCCATAGGGTGGCCCACTACAGATCAGTCTTTGATCACCCCAGCAGCCCCAGTCATTCAAAAATACTATGCTTTTAAGCAATATAAAAACTACAAAGTAGAGCTGGGCTGGATACCAGTTTGTACCAAAAACCGTTTTTTGTTTTTGTTATGGTATGAATATTCTGAATCCTGACATACCTGTTTAAATAGCTAGAACACGTTCAGAATGCTACGTCACACCCTCCAGTGAATTGTTTCACGGGGAACACTTTTCCTCGTAACACCGCTATACGCATTAGCAAGCTAATGTTATTGTAGCAGCCTTCTAACTGGCAGTGTGTGACAATTCCACTGCTTATATTGACTGATGTTAAAAAAATTCCAGTTTTTGACATCATTGAATGTATTATACACCTCTTCAGTGACATGCACGGATAGATTTAATCTGGGACGYAAATGCATGGAGACGTTAATGTGCTTTTATTGTGAAAAGCCCAGGGGAAGTAGTTTTGTATCAGGGTTTAGTTGACTGGCGTGCACCAGGCTGAGTCATTCTGTTAAGCTTTATTAAATAAGACAAAACGATAGACCCGATAATGATCTTTGCTCATTCCTCCTTCGCGACCGTACCAAAATGTGTGACTATTGTGTAGTGGTCACCTCGAGGTGGAATAAACAGTTCCACCTGTCTTTGACCTTGGTCTCAGAAGACCTCCTTTAAAGAGACAGAACTCTGTTCAAGTTAGAGCCATAACAGGTTTTCTTAAACATTAAAGAGACATTTTCTTCTTGTTAATCAGATAATAAACAGAATGGGCCTCACGCTAGAATCGTTCGTACGCACAGATTTGTTCTTAAGTTGTGCGTACGAGTGATTTAGGAGAATTTGTGGCATTCACCAATGTTTTCGTATTCTAAGATTTTTT